AAACGCAAACGTACACTTCATCATACGATCTCATCCAAAAGCTGTTGAGGATAGGCAGTTCGTTCGGGGTTCGTGGGGTCAAACCCTGAAAAATCACTTGGTGAGTTCGGTTCACCATTGTGCCGTCAACATACCGAATATTTTTAAACTGTACTTTACCCATACTTTCGATCCCAAAAACGTGCTAAACCTATGTCAAGTATATTAAGGCAATATTCACAATGAAATTGAGAAGTGGAAGTGGTTAATTCGCTTAAAATTACTCTTTTAAGAAAATTAACCACTTCATTGTTCACACTTCCTTTCCTTTGTGATGGTGAATATGTTTCACTTCACTGCGTGTCTCATTGGCTGCAGTCAACTAATGTTACCAAAGATGCATGCAGTAAGGCGATATTCAAATAAAGGATTGCGATACTTCAGACATTTGTGCTTGGCACTGAGAAGCCTGGCGAAGTGAGCAATGCAACTCAGTACGAATTTGACGAGTATCAGGACTTGTTGATTGTTGATATGATCGACACTTACTTCAATCTAACGATCAAAATGCTCACTATGTTTCATTGGGCCAAGGCATATTGCAACAAGCCAACCGTTATTTATGTGGTAATATGTACATAGTTTATTTTCAGTTTTTTTCCCATCCAATATTCATTCATCACTTATCACTCCTCGGGTGATCTGAACTAGTGCAGTAGAAAGAGCATCTGAGCCCTAGAAAAACCTCAACCAGAAACCGCAGAGGTGCATTCATGTATTGTTGCTTGCGTTCATTGGAGATGGACAGTTTCAGGGTGATCCAGATGCCGCTGTTTTCCCGAATGCAATGAATAAGTTTGCTGGAAACATCCACGTGGACATACCATGTCTATTTGGTTATTGCCTTATAAACGCCCAACCCGTTCGAGACCCAAAAAACAAGTGGTGATTTTCTTGATAAGTAATCAGAGGTTGAAGGCACAACTTGACTGCTCCATATAACATAAAATTGCATTCTTTGTCGTGCTCTTAGTTTTTCATATTTGTTGCAATGATACGATTGAAAGCGTTTGCT